CCTAATGTAATACATCGTTTGATTTCTTGACTGCTGCTTCCATGAGTGTTGATAGTTGATCCAAGAAGAATGAAGTCCTTGACAACTTTAATATTTTCTCCATTGATAAGAATGTTATTCATTGGCCCTGTGGTAAGGATTTTTGTTTACATTGAGATGTAATCCATAACGAAGGCTGTACTCTTTGATCTTCATCAGTAAGTATGTTAAACTGTCTTCACTTTCAGCAAGCAAGGTTGTATCATCTGCATATCACAGGTTGTTAATGAGTCTTCCTGCAATCCTGATGCCACGTTTCTCTTCATATAATCAAGCTTTCTTCTTGGATTATTTGCTCAGCATACTGGTTGAGTAAGTATGGTGAAAGAATACAATCCTGTAGTACACCTTTCTTAATTTTAAACCATTCAATGTTCCCATGTTCTGTTGCATATGTAGCCTGCATTCTATTTCTATTAGGCAGCTCTACTCTAGGAGTCCTGCTATGGCGCTCTAGGATAAAGCACTGGACGGCGAGGTCGGGATTCAAACTCAGGAAGCTATGAGTTGGAACTAACTAATGGGACTTAATAACTTTATAAGGTGGGATGCATTGCCCACTGCTATGCCAAGATTCTGAGTCATAACGACCGTAGAGAACAGAGTAGGACTGCCTCATAGGGGCTGTGGCGTTATAGGATAAACATTGGGCTACAAAGTACAGAGACGGTGGTTCAAACCCACCAGCTGTTGCTCAGAAACACTATACAGGATCACTGGGAGTGGGAACCCACTAGACGGCACTTAAACAGCATCAACAACTATGTCTCCCAGACCGCTGGTGAGTTCGAACCACTAATCTCTAGGTTTGCAGCCAAGCTACCATAACTACTGGCCCCACCCATGTTCTGTGAACTTGCTGCCTTAGAGGCATTTTGTTTTGTTTTGTTTGTTTACAGGAGTGGTTGAGGGAGGCCTAGGAGACTACACTGGGGAAAGGAACAGGGAAGTGGATGCCAGTGCAAAGAAATGAAACTGAAAGCCAGGAATGAGGCACAGGGCGCCTGCAGGAGGAAAACAAAACCTAACCCGGGGGCGGGGCGGGAGCTTAAGGGAGCCTTAGGCCAGCAGGAGTGGAGCCGCGGTTTCTGCTCACACCTCAGGCGACCATGGACGTGTATGCTACTCCCGCCTCCGCGCTGGACAAGTTGGTGGCCCGCAGCTTGCAGCCACCCGCGGAGTTTGTGGCCTCCGTGAGGCGCGCCCTGGGCTCCCTGAGCGCCACCCTGCGAGAGCGCGGAGGACGCCACGGAACCGTGGGCCGGGAGTCGGGGATACTGAAAATTATCAAGGTGAGGAGTCCAGACGACTGAGGTTAGGGTGGGCATGGAATCCTAGGACAACGCCTGGAAACTGAAGGGGAAGGAGGAATGAGGTTTGGTTTAACCTCTTTTCATTCATTTCTTTACTTATAGCCCGCTAAGGTCAGCAGTTCGAAACTACCAACTGATCCACGGGAGAAAGATAAGGCTTTCTGCTCCCGTAAAGATTAACAGCCTCGGAAACCCTGTACAGGGCCGCTTTGAGTTGGTTACGACTCCACGGCACATAACCACCACCACCACTGTATGGCAGCGAGTGAGTTAAGCACGGGACTGTTAATCACAAGTTCCAAAGTTCAAATCCACCAGCTGATTCATGGGAGAAAGATGAGGCTTTTTGTTCATGTAAAGATCTACCGTCTCAGAAACCCCGTATGGGGTCTCTGTGAATCAGAATCGACTTGATGGTAAAGTGGGCTTTTTGTCCTTTTTAAAAAAAAACATTGTGCTAGTGTTTTAAGTGCCAGAAAAGATCATGTGAGCCTTTAATTATTTAATGATGCTGACAACAGGTCTGTGAAATAGCCCCCACTTGACAGATGGGGAAATTGACGTACAGTGGAGGCAAGCGACTAAGAAAGAGGTGGAACCAGGGATTTTAAAAAAAGTTTTTTAAACTTTTCATTGTGGATTGAGTGAAGGTTTACAGAGCAAATCATCAGTTTTACACTCAACAAATCATATACTTTGTTTCATCTCAATGATTGCAATCCCCTCCATGTAACATAATGTATTTTACTTCCTCTCTGTGGTTTTTGATTCTATTCCTCCATCTTTTCCAATAGTTTTGAACTTTGTTCTTGGGTAAATGCTGCCTTTTGATCTTGACCCTCCATGAAGTTCTTACCGCACTAGTGTTGTCTCCCACATACCTATCTATTGTTTGGCTGAAAGTTGAGTCATGTGGGTCACAGTCTTAGGTGTTTCACCAGCCTCTACCTGACCAATACGTCTGGTTCTTTTCTTTTTTTCTTTTTTTTTTATGATTTTGAGTTTTGTTCCACATTTTCTCCAGCTCTCTCCAGGCTATTCTAGTGTGATCCCTTTCAGAGCAGTCGGGACACTATCTAGTTCTTTTGGTCTCATGGTCATGGAAACTGATGTTCATGTGGTTCATTAGTCCACTGGACTAATTGTTTCCAAGCATCTTCAATTTTCATCACTTAATCTTTCCTTAAGATAGGGTGAGACCAGTAGTTGTACCTTAGATGGCCACTCATGAACTTTTAAGATCCCAAAGATCACCAAAGCAGACTGTATGTACAACATTGTCTTTGTGGACTATGTTAGGACAATTGATGAGCCAGGGACTTATTGTGGAGTAACTGTGACAAAGAGCTTCTCTCTTTATTGTGCAAGTTGGAAAACTTTCAAAATAGCAATAATCCTTAAGTAAATTCATTTAAGGAGAGAGAAAAGTGTGAGTTTAGGAGCCTGACTCCATGGGTTCAAATCCTGGTCCTGCCTTCACTGGCTGAGAGACTTCCCTGTTCTTTTGTTTTCACATTTGTAAAGTAAGTGCAGTTACAGAGCCTTT